GCGCTGGCTCCAAATGACACCGTGTGGCTCCTGAGCAGGGCCAGAGCCATGCCCTGGAGCTCTCCCCATGGGCTCTCCCTGGTGTGGGAGATGCCTGGTCCCATCCACCCAGGGATTAAAGGGGTCCTGGGGACGGCAGCGGTGGCTCTGCCAGCCACCCACACTGACAGCTTCTCTCCCTGCCCCAGGCTCGTGCCTCCATGCAGGCAGAGATGGTCCTGAAGGAAGCAGAGGCCGAGCGGCAGCGCAAGCGCATCCTGGAGCTGGAGGAGATGCAGGAGCGTCTCCAGGAGGCCCTGCAGCAGGAGGTGAAGGCACGGCAGGACGAGGAGTCCGTCAGATACGCACAGGCCAGGTAGGACCAGGGCAGCCCTGCTCCTCCTCCTCCACCAGCCCCGCTGCCAGGGCAGCAGCTGGGCCTGGGGACACGCTCCCCGGGGTGCTGGGGTGTGCTGGTGGCTTCCCAGTAGGCTGGTGTGGGGATGGGAAAGCTGGTGGATGGAGTGGCAGAGGGATGCCCTCACCTCCTGCTTTTCCTTGACAGGCTACTGGCTGAGGAAGAGGAGAAGCTGAAGCAGCTGATGAAGCTGAAAGAGGAGCAAGAGGAATATATCATCAAAACTCAGCTGGAGAAGCAGGTCCTCAAGCAGGAGATGGAGAACAAGAACAAGTGTCTGGAAGAGGCACAGAAGCAGCTGGAAGAAGTGAGAGTGAACAGGCAGCGGGTGGACCAAGACGTCATGGTGAGCATCACACTGACACCACATCCCTTCACGCTGGAGCCCCAGGGGACCTCCCAGCCCTGCCCGAGGTGCCTCCACACTGGGGAGGACCCAGAAGGTTTGGTTCTGAGCTGTGCTCACGGGATGGTTCTGTGGCTAAGGTGGGACAAGTGTGTCCTGCCCTGGAGGGACAGCGCTGGCATCCAGAGCAACGTGGGCACAGCGGGAGCGTGTGGAGGTGGGAGGACAGAGGAGGGTGGCAGCTGGGTCTCCAGGTTTACTCAGGGAAGGGAAACTCCTGGTGTGGTGGTGGGTGAGGGGCTGGCAGGTGCCAGCTCAGCCCTCTCCTCCTCGCCTGGCAGGCGGCCCAGCGGAAGCTGCGACAGGCCAGCACCAACGTCAAGCACTGGAACGTGCAGATGAACCGGCTGATGCACCCCATCAGGCCTGGAGGTGGGTGAGCAGCCACCCCACCCTCCCCTGCCCCCCTGGCACGGCCACGCTGGGGCACCAGCCAGTCCCACGGAGTCCCAGCGTGGTCAGGGTGGGAAGGGACCTCTGGAGATCACCTCGTCCAACCCCCCTGCTCCAGCAGCTCCCCCACAGCAGGGTGCCCAGGGTCACAGCCAGGCAGGTTTGGGATCTCTCCAGAGGAGACTCACAACCTCTCTTACCCATCTTTCCCACCCTCTTTGGGTGCATTGGGGGCTGGCAGGAGCCCCCACCTTTCCAAGAAGATACCCCAACATCTCTGGCAACCCCACAACCCTCTTCCTTAGCTGAAAGGTGGATTTGGACCCCAGGGGAACACTCCTCTTTCTCTGTCTGTCCCCAGACAAGCGTACGAACGTGAGTGGAGGCGGCTTTGCTGGCTACCAACCCCTCCTCTCCCGGAGAGACTCCTCCCTCAAACTCAAGCAGAAAGTGGAGGATAAAGGCAGCGACCCCCCGAGGGCCAACAGCGAGGAAAACGTCAGCAACGGTGGGAACAGCAGCCTGCCACCAACTCCAGATGTGGACACCATGGCCACAGAGCCCACCAACTAGCCCAGCAGGATGGCAGAGCCCAGCAGGGAACTGCAGGGCCCAGCACATCCCTCAGAACAGACACAGTCCATGTGGTCATCTCTGGATGGAGACGTGTGGGGACCAGCACAGAGCCTATAGGTGACCACATCTAGTGCAGAGATGCTCCCATTTCCTTCAGGGAAGGGCTGCAGCCACAGCGTGCCAGGAGGCTCAGACAGACGTTGGGGAGAAGAGCGTGGGGCCACCTCCTCGGGGCTGCTCAGGAGTGGGACCTGGACTCAGCTCTCCAGAATC